AAAAAGGTGCAACTCGAGGTGGGTGAGTCTTGCAACCACATGGTTGGGGTTGGTTCTAGCTTCCTTTCAAGTATCAGCTTCACCTCCTACCAAGTCCTTCATCAAGTAGCAGGGAGGGTAACACTTGATTTGAAAACTATTGCAAAGAATCAATGAAGTACGATAGCTTCTCCAACCCCAGAATATAATAACATCCATTGACATCCAGTCAGTTCTAATTCATGGGGATCCAATATAATACTGTAGAACCACCACATCGGGTGTCCAAAGTTGGAATCCTTACAGAAACATACACTACCACACATTCCTCCAGCGGAGTGGCTGGTGGGGCCACCAGGTCTCCTTGAAACACAGGTAAGAGGAGCTTCTTAAACAATAGAAACTATGAAGAATCCAGGTACTGTGGTCCTTCATAGGCAACTGCTGAGGAATACAGAAGCAGGCCTGCCACTAACATGGTATCAACATTTGGTAGTGGGGACATAATTCTAATGACACTGGACTTCTGTGAAATAGTCAAAGTCTTGTTCAAATTCTCTTATGTTACCTTTAAATGGTAGATAAATTAAGGGAGCTCTGGTGGCCTAGTGGTAAGACACTGCACTGCAATCCCAGAGGTACGTGGTTCAAATCCACCAGATGTTCTGCTGGAGAAGGAGGGGGCAATCTCCTCCTGTACCAGTCAGATCTGATTTGACGGTACATGTGAAAAATAATACAATAAAAATAAAGAAAAAAATAATTTAAATTGTAGATAAATTAAGCAGGCTCAAAAAAGATCCAATACCAACTCACAAAGGACACAACCAACCCAAAATACAAATGCCTAGCAGTAAAAAGCTGTCCTGCAATCCTGAAGGCACGTGGTTCAAATCCACCAGCTGCTCCATGGAAGAAAGATGGGCAATCTCCTGTGCATTTATCTGCCTCTGAAAAGCCGCCAGAGGGTCAGCTATGGGTTGGTTTTGACTCAATGGTAAATACCACCACCACCACCACCACCACATTGTAGATATAGTTGGGAGATCAATAGTTAGCAGATATAGGTTAGTAGCACTCTAGAAAAGCTTCAATCTTGTTACACTTAGTTATGATTCAATATATAATAGCATAGCCAACTGCTGCTACTAATATTCTGAGAGGAAAACCCAGCCAATAGTATCTAGGGACTGGTACCGCACTCACAGCTGCACCATAGCGTTCACGAGGCCTGAACTCTGTCATAGCAGCATTGAGCAAGATCAATCTGAGACCAGGCTGAACCAAGACAAAACCAAGGTCATTGTGCAATTCACAAGATGTCTGATACGCCCCTTTCTCAAGTGACTGCTGCTTCATTACAAATCACAGCTTTATCTTTGCTCTAATCTATGCTTCATTTAACCCCAAACCAAATTAAGCCCGCCTATGCGGAGTTGATTCCAACTCCCAGAGACCCCGGTGGAGAGAGCAGACCTGTCCCGTAAGGCTTCCGGGGCTGGGAACGTTTACCCAAGCAGACTGCCTCATCTTTCTCTTGTACAAGGGCTGGTGGGTTCAAGTTTCTGATCTTTCAGTTAGCAGCCCACCTTTTAACCATGAAACCGACAGGACCCCACAAACTTCCTACAGACATGGCTTATACCTAGAGACCTAATTGGAGATTTGCACCCAAAACCTGAGTTACCCCACTCAAGGCCCAAATCTTGTACAGCAATTGGTTCTTTCTAAATTCTGTTTTATAAACCCAACGCTTAATAGAAATAGCACAGACGGGTGGCTCTTAACCAAACCCTAACCCCAAAATCTATTTCTCAGTTTTCAAGGTTAGAAGTCTGAATTCAGGATGCTGACTCCAGAGAAAGGCTTACTTTCTTTACTCTGAAGGGCTTTGTCTCTGAACTGCTCTCAGGTGATCTTCACGTGGTGTGGCATCTTTCTTCCCCCATCTCGGCTTGCTAGATTAATCTTTTATATCTCTAAAGAGACTTAGTCAAAATACACTCTAAACTCATTCACTCACTGTTGTCGAGTAGGAAATGACTATAGATGACACTCCAGTGTGTTTTCAGAGGATGCAAATAATGGAGACTGCCCATCTTTCTTCTGAGGAGCAGCTGGTGGATTTGAACAATCCACTTCTGGCTTGATAGCACAACTCTCTATCCACTAGGCCCACAAAGGTCCCTACACTAATCCTACTTACTTAATGCAACAAAGACAACCCATTCCCAGATGGCCCAGAGGGTAGAATACAACACATATTTCCTGGGGATACAATTATTTATAATATACTTTCTCAATGAAACAGAAAACACTTCTATAGTATGGAATCTTTTTCACTGCCGTAAGTCACAAACCCAACTTGTTCAACTACAGTTGTTTCTGGTGAGCTTTGGCTGAAGGTCATCAACACTGAAACCTCCCAAGGCCATATCTGTGCTTCATGGACATTAACCACAGAGATAAAAAATGACATGGTACCATGACATGCTGTGTATTAATGATGTCCTCAATGTAGCTAAGGTGCATCCAAGAACTGCTGAGTCTTTGGCATTGAGGGGAGACACCCCAAGTTCTGGCTCGGAAGGTCTTTTGTCTGCTCTGGGGAGTTTGGTCATGAGAACTGAGGTTCTGTGGATGGGCTTGCAGGTGGAGAGACACCTGTGGTTTTCTACACTCTTTAACTCCCTGCCGAGGCCTGAGATGTGTTGAGAGTGAAATACTACAATTCAGCCTGGAAGTCTGGCTGGGCTCAGGTGGGCACATTATTCTGGACAACTCTGGGCATGACCAGTTGGCCCAGTTATGGTGGAGGAGACTCAATGAGCGTGGAGACAGATCACACCATCACGATCCCTTGCAGGCCCTCGTTGTGATACACTGCTTCTCCTTTCACCCTCAATGAATGAACATTTCACAGAGCAGGCATTAAAGCTCCTCACCACTTGCCCCATGCATTGCTTATGCACAGCCATCTGGCCTCCAGCATCAAGACCTGAGAAGTCCCGGAGCTGCATTTTGCACTCATTGACCTTCACTGCTGTCTTTCTGCTAAGTGGCTGTGCCTGTTGTGTTGGAACATTTCCAGAGCAGTGGAACTCCTGACTCCTGAGATGGCCTGTCTGCCTTTGAATAACTGTCATAAAGATTTTATATTAAGCCCTAATTTGTTTCTCTGTGGCTTACATTAGGCCAGACAGGGAGAAAATCGAACCCCTCTTCCACAGAACAGCTCTCCAGGTCCCTAAGGACGGCATCATGTTCTTGCTTATCAGAACTGCAAGTGCCTGCAGCACAGAGGTAGAGGGGCCTGGACCAAAATTACAGACATCACCCCCAGCTCCCTAGCCAAGTGCTAAGGACACAGTACATTTCCTTGTGTAGTCCTAATGTCTAACGGTCAGTGATATTCATGAAGTGCTTTAAAAAAAATTAAGTACATATTGTTGTTGTTAGGTGTCATCAAATCACACATAGTGACCTCCTGAACAGGTCAGAACCTTGCCCTGCCTGATTCTCTGAACAGGTCAGAAACTTGCTCTATCTGACCCACTGCACAGGTCAGAATCTTGCCCTGTCCAACCTAATGAACAGGTCAGAGCCTTGCCCTATCTGATCCTATGAACAGGTCTGAGCCTTGCCCTGTCCAACCCCCTGAACAGGTCAGAATCTTACCCTGTCTGACCTCATGAACAGGTCAGAACCTTGCCCTATCCGACCCTGTGAACAGGTCAGAGCCTTGCCCTGTCCGACCCCATGAACAGATCAGAGCCTTGCCCTATCCGACCCTGTGAACAGGTCAGCGCCTTGCCCTGTCCGACCTCATGAACAGGTCAGAGCCTTGCCTTGTCCGACCCTGTGAACAGGTCAGAGCACAGGTCAGAGCCTTGCTCTATCCTTCAACATCCTCACGACCTCTGCCATGCTTGAGCTCACAGTCGCATTCACTGTGTTAATCTAGTTCATTGATGGTCTCCCCTGTTTTCTCTGACTGCGCACTTTGCCTAGCAGGATGGGTGTTTTTTTTACCCCCGGACTGGTCCCTCCTGACAACATGCCTAACGTATGTCAGATGAATTTCCACCATTCTTGCCTTCAAGTAGCCCTGTTGGTAGTATCTCACAGGACATTGAAGGGGAAGCACAGTTTGGTGACAAAGGTAATGGAGGGAGAGTCAGTAGCAGAGAGAAGAGATCTAACAGAGAACCCCTAGCTGGCCTGTAGGAAGGAGGGCAGAAGATTTAAAAGGAAAATATTATTTAGGCTCTGGCAACGTGGCATAGGAATTTCAGAATGGCGCTTGCATTTTCTGTGGCACTGATGATTATAAGCATACATTCTCAAGGACTTCAAAAAGAATTTGAATTATCTTATCATGAGACTTCATAAAATAAGGTAGTTAGAATAAAAAACTCTTATTGCCATTGAATGGGAACTGACTTGTAGCCCCCCCCCCCACTGGGTTCCTAAGCTTGTTAACTGCACAGAAGGAGATTGCCTATCTTTCCCCCTAGAAGCCGTTGGTGGGCTCGAACCACCAGACTGGCTCAGCCTTTGGATTAACAGCAGCATGTAATTCCCTCTGGAACATGGCACCCAGCTCCCTAAAGTTAGAATACATATTTGAAAAGAGACATTAATAACTACTTGGAGTCAAGAGCAGCTAACCTACATTTTAACAATAACCTACAATAAACTAGGATGCAATTCCTAGAAGCCACAGCAGAAAAGATGAACAGAGGACAATGGAGCTCATGAAAACCTGAGGTTTCTCGAAGCTACCCTACACCCCATCCCCGGGAGCGAGAACACAGTAATGTGTGGTACGCTGTGTTCCCGAGCGGGGCTAAGAAATCATCTAATCACCTTCTGTCCTTTCCATCTGAGCAAGAGAGGTCTAGAAAGGCAAGAGACTTGCCAAGGACATAGTACCAGAAGTGGGGTTTTCCTAAACCCTAGGTCAGCAGCACTCTGATGAACTGCTTGCTGGTCAACTGCCTTATTCTACACGACTCGGATTAGATGAAGAAGCTCCTCTCTTGCTCCCGCCTTCCCTTCTGGCTGGAGTCCCTTTGGATGGCTTCAGACTTAGGGGTGGACGTGAGGCAGGGTTCATCCTCTGACTGCCGTCCAGTCTTTGACAACAGCCTCCACACGCTGACTGCAGCATGATGATTTGGGTCTCTCCAGAGTTCCTGCTGTGGTCCACACTCCGAGCTGCCTGGGGACCCTCCAGGGAAGCCAATACTGGGGCACAAGGCTTTGCCTGGGCCAATGCCTAGGATGGGGCTAATATTAGCCATGGTGACAGGAAAGGATTTAGCACCAGGCTGAGACAGAGCAGGTTGGGTAGGGCTGCTGGTCTCCAACCTCTGCCCTGAGTGAGACATCTGTGGAGATGCCCTAACTTGTTGGTGTGAGGATGCCACCCCTTCTAGGATGGCACTAAAGTATACTGTGGAGTCTTCCTGTCCTTCTCTTTCCTGACCAGTCTTGTCCCTTCCCTGGGCCTCAAGGGTTATGGCTTCAGACGGCAAAACCACAGCTCCTTCCGTCAGGCCACCCTCAGCCTGAGTAGCTGACAAGTCCTGGGCAGGTGCACTGTCAGGACGATCACTGGTGAAGGAGATGTAACTTGAGATCTCCACAGGCTTGGCCTCTGCTTTTGGGGCATTTTCAGCCTCAGAACTTCTCCCCAAGGGTTGGGTGTCTTGGGGTGATGATGGGAACTCTTGCTGGGTAAAGAAAAGCTTTCTCTGTGGGTTGTAGTGTTGACTCGATTGCCAAGCTGTGGGGCAAAAGCAGCCACTCCCGTTATCTCCAAAGGCTGCGTTGATCTTGGACACATTTCCAGTTTTTAAGGCAAGTTTCACAAACAGCCAGTGGTGGTGTCCCAGGGCAGAGTTCTCCTCGGCAGCCTGGCTTCCCAGACAAGCCTCTGAAAGGCCCCACTCTGGGCTGAGCGATGTCCCGAGACGTGTCACCTCAGAACCTTCCAGTGGGCCCAAGCCTGAGCCTTCCAACCTCTCTCCCTCCGGGGCTTTAACACAGAGGGAAGATTCTTTCTCTGCTTTATCGCCACCTGCAGTGCCACAGCACTTCCTCACAAAGCCCTGCCAGATGTCTGTGGACTTTGGGTGTAGCAGGCTGTAATAAATTATCAGCGAGACGCTGCCTGGAAGAGAAGAAGGAGCACAAGGTTGTGTTCTTTGACACTGGAGAAGTATCTTCCAACGTCTATAAAAAAATGAAAAAACCTTAACAATTAAAGAAATTTGTAGCAAAGCTTAAATCTATTGAGTTTATAAAACTCTTGCTTGTGGATGATGCCAATTGCATACTAGATATGAATGCATACATACGTGTGTGCAAGTATATGTGTGCATGTGGGAGGTGTTTGTTAGAAAAGGTCAGCTCTTTGAAATAAATGGATTAGATGCTCAGAATTCAACCACGGGTTGATACAAGTTGATGCTAAAGTGAGGTGAGGGGGGTGGGTAGGAAGTCATCTCAAAAACAAATCAGACTAAAGCAGAGGTTAAACATGCTCATCAAAAAATCCCATATCAAGGAATTTCCATGACCAACAACAACACTTCCTTTGTACATAAACATCTTAATCACATTGTTGTCAGTTTAATTTATTTTGATCAGAAGTGTTGACTACTGCAATAATTTCTTTACCAGAGCATTCCAGTAATCCTCCCACGTTATTTCCAGTTTCCTGTTACACTGGATGGAGTGCCTTGTTGCAGGGTGTTCGCTATAAACAGCCTGAGACCTGAAGTAAGTTCTGGGGAAAAATAACCCGAGGGGGCCAGGAAATCACAGCATGAAAAGCTGCTGTTGTTGTTAGGTGCCTTGGAGCCGATTTCAACTCACAGTGACCCCATATGACAGAGCAGAGCTGCCTAGAGTGGGAGGCTTTCTAGGCTGTGAACTTTATGGGGGCTTTTCTGCTGTGGAGTTCACTAGGTGGGCTTGAACTATCACTCTTCCTGTTGGCAGCTGGGCACTTCACTGCTGTACTACCAGGGCTCCTTTGGAGGAGCTACAAGAAGCCTACAGAACGATCACAATGGGTTCTTTCTGTATATCACAAGGGCGTGAAGCCTGAAGGGTAACAGGAAGATCTGAAGTTATACAGAATTAGGGGCAGGGCTGGAACTCGGGGTGCAGGGAGGAGCTGTGGGCCATGAGTTGCTGCAAATCTCAGAGAACTCTGAGATGGATTGTGTTTTATAAGGCATTCTAAAAAAAAAGAAAATCTTCATCACTGTCATGTGGGAAGTGACACATAGAAGATCTTCAAGCAGCTTTTTGGAGGCTGTAAATCACATGGGAGAAGACTGCTCATCATTCTGAGTAATCCCTAGGAGATTTGAACTGCTAGAGTGGCAACTTTTGGGTTAGCAGTGCAACTCCCTACAGAACATGCAACCAGAATTCCCTTTGCAAGGCACTAGCACTCACAGTCAGAATCTTAGTGGCTCAATAGTTAAGTGCTTGGCTACTGAGCAATAAGGTTTGCAGTTTGAACCGACTCAGCAGATCCAAGGGAGAAAGACTTGGTATTCTGTAACTATCAGTGCCCAGCAAGCCCTGTGGGCTGTCAATTAGAGCCATGAGGAGTCGGAATTGCCTCAACGGCACCTAATAACAGCAGGACCACAGGGAAGGGTTCTTGAGTAGGCAGTTGGCTCTCAGCTGCTGACAGATCTTCCACCCGTCAGTACCATAGACGAAAGGCCTGGTGATTGGCTTCCATAATGATTAAAGACAATGAAACCCCATGGAGCAGTTCTCTGTCACATTTGCGTGCTAAGAGTTGAAATCATTGTGACAGCAGTGGGCTTTACCACTCGCATCAGATGCTTAGATGGTCTCGACTTTTCACACAAGGCAGCCTCAGCACTGCTCTGTGTTCTGAGCAAGGTCAAGCAAGGTGAAAGGAGGCTAAGTTCAGTGTCCCGGTCCCTGGACTGTGATGGCCTCACCTTTCACAGTGCAGTGAACTCCATTCCTCTACTTCCGTTTATCCAAGTCGAGCCTGAGTATATGCTTTCCTACCCTGGAAACTCACTTTAGGAAAATAAGACGGACAAAGGTGTACGGAGACAGCATTGGGTCTTACCAATCAGAAATCCAGACATGACAGCAGCTACCATCCACAGGCTGCTCCACAATGCCTCCTGGAGGAAATAGGTGGCTAACAGCAAAAGGACGATGTTCTCCAGCAGCATTATCTATGGAACCAAAGGCAGCGCCACGGCGGCTCGTCAGGTGCACTAAGCAATGCCCTTCAGCCTGCAAAGTCCATAGAAGTAGCCTCCAGGCATGGACATTCCCTCTTCACTGCTCATAGGGGGCTCTCCCAGTGCTACAGGACCCTCCCAGAAGCAGCCCTATGATCTCCATGAGATATTATCTCACACAGGAACCATGGTTTCAACATGGCTCATGAAAATGTCTTCAGAATTATAAATGCACAGAAGTGTAAAGGTGCAGACCAAATTGCTAGGTTAGCTACCTTTGTCAAGTTAAATCCAGTTAAAACAAGATTTTTATTTCATATAACTCACATGCCTCCGAAAATCCCATGAACTTTGATAAATGTCAATAGTTGTAGAGGGGCTTCAGGCCTTTTTGTTTATAGGGTTGCTATGAGTCGTGCTTGACTTGAAGGCAATCAATAATTCTCATGTTACCTTAACTGTAAGTAGGTATTATTTTTTATAACACAAAAAGGAAACATCTCTGCAAGAGTTTTTAAGTGCTATTGAATTCTAGTAAGCTAGAATAAAAAACGTTTTCACCACCAAGCAATTTTCCCCAATCTTTGAAAAAATAGGTTTGATATGCTACCACCAGGTGGCAGCAAGGAGAAGCTGGTGACTAGACTGGTCTGAGGGGCAAGATGGAAGTTTCAGACTTGTTTACTAACTTTGAACTTTAAAATTTTAAATATAAAGATGTATTTATAATAAAGATATGAATAAAGTATATTAATATTAAATGAACAAATTAGAATTCAAAGATATGTTTAAATACGGTATATGAAATATTTCTAAAATTAGACACTGTAAATCATAGTACTGTTATTCTATAAGTCTTATAAAATTTTGCACAGGTAATGTAATAGATTCACTTTAGCTCTAGAAAGTGCAAATGAGAGAATAAAAACTTTATGTGATGCTACTCAGCAATCTAATCGTGTCTGTTGTTGTTGTTGTTATGTACTATCAAGTTGCCTGCGACTCATAGCGACACTGTGTACAACAGCCCTAAACTCTGCTCTATCCTGTGCTAATCTCACCATCTCTGACACACCCAGTCCCTGAGTCAATCCACCTCATAGAGGGTCTTCCTCTCCTGCGCTGTCTCTCCATCCTCCCAAGCATGACTTCCCTCTCCAAGGACTGGTCCCTCCTTGCAACAAGCCCAAAGTATTTCTGATGAAGCTTCAGTATCCTTGCCTCCAAGGAGCAGCCTGGTTTAACCCTCTCCAGGACAAACTTGTTCGTTTTCTTAGCAGTCCATAATATATTCAATACTCTTTTCCAACCATTGGCACAGGACAGAGCAGAGTTTAGGGCTATTGTACATAGGGTCACTATGAGTCACAAGCGACTCGACGGCACATAACAACAATAACAACATTGTCCTCATATCTGAGGTCTCTGGGTTGTTGTTGGTAGGTCCTGATGAGCCAAGTCTGTTATTCAGTGACACCCTGTGAACAATGGATGTAAATTTTGCCCCGTCCTGTGCCATCCTCACAATCTCTGATGTACTTGAGTCCATTGATACAGTCACTGTGCCAATCTATCTTGAGGGGTTTCCTCTCCTTCACTGACCTTTCTCCAAGCTTAATGTCTTTTTCAAGGTCTGCTCTCTCCATGCTCAAGGAATGAGACCCAGTTTCACTATCTTTGCCTCCGAGGAGCACTCTCACTTTACTTTCTCTAAAACAAATGTGCTTGTTCTTTTTGCAGATCATGGGATATTCAGCACTCTCTTCCAGCACCACGACTCAAAGGCAATGGTTCTTCCTCCATCATCCTTATTCATTGTCCTTGACAACAGATTTCCCCCATGCAACACATCTTTGATTTCTTTTTAGTAAGTGCAATAGGCATTACTTCAGTACTAAGGTGCACTTGCTCCATCCCATGGCCTTTTCAGTTGCTTCCTATGCAGCTGAAAGTTGGATGGACAATTAATAAGAATGGCAGAAGAATGGAAGCTTTTGAATTGTGCTATTGGGGAAGAACACTGAATAGCCTATGAACTGTCAAAAGAACAAACAAATCTGCCTTGGAGGAAGTGTAACCAGGGTGCTCCTCACAAGCCAGGGTAGTGAAACCTGATCTCACACACTTGGGGCCAAGTCCTTAGAAAAAGACATCATGCTGGGAAAGGTGGAGGGTCAACCAAAGAGAGAAAGAGCCTTCACATGACGGGTTAACACAATGACTGTAAAAATAGGCTGGTGCATATTAGAGAAGGTAAGGGCGGCACAATTGGCAGCATTAGGATGGATGGTGAAGAGATTGAGATTTTTACAGTTTTAGTCTGCTCGGCTCCACAGTCAACAGTCTCAGCACCAGTAGCCAGGAAATTAAAAGACGTATTGTGATGGGAAAGTCTGCTGTTAGGGACCTCTCTAAAGTACTGAAGAGCCACGGTGTGTCTCTGGAGACTAAGGTGCATCTGGTACAGGCCATGGTCTTTGCAATCACTTGTTATGCATCAGAGAGTTGGACAGTGACTAAGGAGGATAGAAGGAGAATTGATGCTTTTGAGCTTTGGTGTTGGAGAAGAGTGTTGAGGGTACCATAGACTGCTAAGAAAACAGACTCATCCTGGAGAGGGTTAAACCGGCCTGCTCCTTGGAGGTAAATATTCTGAAGCTCCGTCTGACATACTTTGGACATGTTGTGAGGAGAGACCGGTCCTTGGAGAGGGACATCATACTTGGGAGGGTGGAGGGACAGTGCAGGAGAGGAAGGCCCTTTATGAGGTGGATTGATCCAGTGACTGGGGTAATCGGGATGGGTATGTTGGAGACAGTGTGATTGGTACAGGACAGAGCAGAGTTTAGGGCTGTTGTACATAGGGTCGCTATGAGTCGCAAGCAACTCGACAACACATAACAACAACAACAAAGGGCGGCACAGGGTAGTGCGAGCTTCAGATCTGTTGTCAATAGGGTTGCAACGAGTTGATGGTGGCCACCTGTAGTTGCCTATTGATGGCAATACTACTTTGTGTAGTATTGTCCAGTGGCCTCTTGGAGTTTTCTCCCACTCATCAATTAGCCACATCCATCTGCTGTCTGGTCTTGTTGGTTTAGGTGCTCAAGTTTGGCTGATATGTATTACCTCTTTCTTCTCCTTACTAATATTTTTATTCTATTCCCATTACCTCTTGTCTGCATTCCTATCAGTAGCCTCCTCATTATCCCTGTCATCTCTCATCCACACCAGTGATCCACTTCACCTCAGGCCCTTGTCACTCCTGCCTACCTTACCTTAAAATCATTCCGTCTTAACTCCAAGACCAAGTCCCCGTTCTGACATTGCAAGCTGATCTGTTTGTGATTTGGCCTCAATCTTCCTGTCTAGGGTCATCTTCCAACAAGCTCTCCCCACATTCACACTCCATTTCCTGTGAAATCCCAAGTTCTCTGTGTTCTTACTTTTGCTTTTAAAGCTTTACCTAAAATGTTCTTAAAGCCCTCCTAGGCTCCTCTGTCCCCTTTCCCATCAAGAGCTAGCTCAAATGTCACCTTTTATAAAGGCTCCGCTGACTTCCCACGCTGTGCTCCTGTTTCTTACATTCTTGTGGGATTTTGATAACATCACTTCTCTTATCTCAGCGGTTAGCATTAATTTGTTTGTATCTTTGTGGCCACTTAAGATGTGACCTTCTCACAACCTAGCCTCTAATTCCTTTTCCAGAAAAGGGTAGAAGCTCTGTGTATGTTCAAGTGGAAATTTTAATAAAGAGTGAAGAGATTAAAGTTTCAATCTAAGTAAAAAAAAAACCCAACAAACCAACTATGCAAAGGGCAGTTTCCACTTCTAAAAAAGGAGGTTAGTACAGACAGGTAGTCCTCAGGGAGCTGTGATGCTTACACGAAGGTCACGACTGGTGGGTTCAATTTGCTGGCAGCTCCGAGGGAGAAAGGTGAGCAGTCTCCCCCTGTGTGATTTACAGCCTCAGAAATCCAAGGGAGGGTCAGTTACAAACTAGTTCCAACTCAATGGCGGCAATAAGGTTTTGTTGGTGTGGTTTTATTTTGTTGTTTTGGTTTCTTCTTGTTTTTTGGGTGGGTTTTTTTATTTTTACAGACAGGTATTTCTCCAACATGTGATCAGAGACTTTTCCCAAAATACTGATATCTGGGCTCTACTGAGGTCTGTTGAATCAGAATCTCTGAGAATTCTCTGCTTTGGGAAAGTTATCACAGTGCATTTTCTAACTAGACAGGCTTAGAAATAGTTGCAGTGGGGCACCCAAAGCTCCCTACCAGCTCAAACACTATTGAATCCTACATCCACAAATTAATTATTCCATTGCAGACAATATGGTATAGCAGGTGGCTAAGAGCTCAACCATGTTGGTTTCTGACCAGTTAGATTTGAAATGCAGCTTTGTCTGGTTAAAGTGCTCTGAGAAGAGACTGCTTAAGTGTCTAATCTGCTTATAGAAAGGTTAGCAGTTCAAACCTCCTCCAGTGTCTCCATAAGAGAAAGATGCGGCAATCTGCTTATGTAAAGACAGCGGCTCTGAAAACCCGATGGTCAGTTCTACTCTGTCAGTATCTATTAGTCGTTATTGACTCACTAAAAATAAGTTTTGTTAGTTTGGTCTGTCAGGAGAGCTATGTGACCTTCAGTGGGTTAGTTAACTTTTATAAGGCTTAGTTTCTTCATTTGTAAAATGGGTTAGATCTCTTTCTCTCTTTTTTTGTGTGTGAGATGTAAATAAAATAAGATAGTCAATGAATTTAGAACAGAAGGTGGAACACAGCATTTATTTCCAAAATGATAATTATTCTTCCCTCCCCACACCAAGATTTCAACAGAGAAGTCAAACAAGCTTCCTCACAGAGAAGTTTTACTTACTGAATTAACTGAATGAATAAATGGGTTCATAGCTGTACTACACTCTCCAGGAAATTATTTTGCTCCTTTATGGTGATGTTAGACTTTGCTAGCCACCAGATTCTTTGCTTAACATATAATCTTATGGTTTAGTGGTAATGAGTTGCGTTGATAATTCAAAGGTATGTAGTTAGAATCCACTAGCTGCTTTACAGGAGAAAGATGGGCAGTCTCCTCTTACGCAGTTTACTGTCTTTGAAAATGCTCTGGAGGATAAGCTATGTTGTTGTTGTTGTTGTGTGCCATTGAGTCAGAACCAACCTATAGCTGACCGTCCAGCAGATTTTCAGAGGCAGTTAATCACATGAGAGGAGATTGCCCCTCTTAATCCCAAAGAGCAGCTAGTGGATTAGAATCGCGTGCCATTGGGATTGTAGTGCAGCTTTTTGCCACTAGGCCATCAGTGGGTCAGCTGTAAACTGGTTCCTACCTGACAGTACTTAACAAAACATGATCATTTTGGAGAAGAAAAAACAATGATGGAGAAGTGAGAAATAATTTTATAGGGCTTATAAGCAAAATATCTGTGTATCCAACATTAGGATGTTGGATGTCAAAGCCTGAAATAATGTTTTCCCTTCACTATGTTAACAATTTCAGCTTGCTCGGTTCCACAATCGAGTAGTCAAGAAATCAAAAGATGAATTGCATTAGGAAAATCTGCTGTTAAAGACCTCTCCAGAATGCTAAAGAGCAACATTGTCTGTCTAGAGATGAAGGTGTGCCTGATTCAAGTCATGGTCTTTGCAATTACTTGCTATGCATCAGAGAGATGGACAATGACCTAGGATGACAGAAGAAGAATTGATACCTTTGAGTTGTGGTCCTGGAGTAGAGTATAGAATATACCATGGACTGCCAATAGAACTAACAGGTCTGTCCCAGAGAGGGTGAAACCAAGCTGCTCCTTGGAGGCAAGGATTTTGAGACTCCATCTCACATACTTTGGGCTGTAGCCAGGAGGGACCAGTCTTTGGAGAAGGACATCATGCTTGGAAGGGTAGAGGGACAGCACAGGAGAGGAAGACCCCAGATGAGATGTATTGACAAAATAACTGAGGTAATGAGGGTAGATGTGTCAGAGATAGTGAGATTGGCTCAAGACAGAGCAGGGTTCAGAGCTATTGTGCACAGGGTCATTATGAGTCATAGTCAACTCCATGGCACATACAACAACAACAATGTCGTTGAACCTCTATAAAGTGCTAAAGATCAAGAATGTTACTTTAAAGATTAAGGTATGCCTGAACCAAGCCTTGACACTTTCAATTGCTCCTTATGCATTTGAATGTTGGACAATGAATAAAAAAATATCAAAAAAGAAAATTGAATAGTGCTGGATGCAAAGAACCTTGCATTTACCATGGACTGCTAAAAGAACAAACCTCTCTGCCCTGGAATATGTAAAGCTAGAGTGCTCTTTAGAAGCAAGAAGGCGAGACTGTCTCACACACTTGGGGCAAGTTATCATCAGCTGGCATTCCTCTGAAAATGCCATCACGGTTTGAAAATGAGAGTGTCAGTGAAAAAGAGGAAGACCCTCAAGGAGCTAGACCGATGCAGGGACGGCAACAATGGGCTTTAAGTACAGCAGAGGGTCATCAGACAGGTTTCACTCTGTTGAACCCAGAGTTGCTGTGAGTTAGAGCTGACTTGACAGCATATAACAATGCACTAATGGAGGAATTCAAAGGTGAGTAGTTTGAATCCACCAGCTGCTCCATTGGAGAAAGATGAGCAGTCTCTTCCAATGGGATTTACTGCCTCTGAAAACATGCTGAAGAGTCAGCTACAAGTTGGTGCTAATTGCATGTAACAACAAGAACAACTGGGGCTCTAGCCTGCTGACAAATGACTATTTTAACTAGATAGTTTTCTGTGAATGGGGAGAATCACCACAAATACCTGATTGTGATCTCAGAGCCACTATTCTATGTTAAATAGTATCTGATTTTTAGTTTTCCTAACTTAATTGCTCTTAACTCCCTACTCTGGTGATTGAGCTGGTAGGAATTATCAGCTTCTCTTCCTTATGTTATATCCTCTAAAACTCTTGAGGAAGATGCTGACAAGAGTGAAAGTCATTAAAACCAAAGCAAAATCCATTAACGTGAAGTGCCTCATTATTTAACTCCTGCTTACTAGTATTCATTTGGCCACTGGCAGATGAACCTGCTGAACTAAGAATGGACTGCTTCTGCAGATAACACCAATATTGCATTTTCATCCAGGTATCATGGCTAAGAAGCTGTGCTGTCACAGCGGCAGACCAGGCCCTTTCACACATTAGCACATTCAGTCCTTACTATCACTCTGAGATGGCCAGTATTATTCTTGGTTTTCAAATGTGGACACGAGTCTTGGGGAGGCTAAGTAACGTGCAGCCGCACAAATCCCATTAGCTCTCTCAGGCTCTGTAGGCTATCTCATTCATTCACTGCCATCAAGTCGGAACTGATGCACAGCTGACCCTCTGTCAGGCTTCTGAGCTGTAAATCACAATGAGATCTTTGTGATCTGTTTATCTTGTAGTATTAACAACTGCCCATCTTCCTTCCATAGAGCCGCGGGAGAGGCGCCACCTCTGGGTTAGCAGCACAACTCCTCACAGACCAGAGCTCCCCTCGGCTATTAACCGCTCGCATGCAGGAGGTGGCAAGCAGCCTGCTCCTTCCTGGGCTAGCCCTGCGCCTCCCTGCCCATTACAATCACGTCCCCAAAACAGAATGCCTGCCCCTGCTCGAGGTCTGTGTATCTTGCGGTATTAACAAGAGGCACTATTTACTGTTTATTTTATGCCAAGTTATTTATGTATGTTTTGCTTTTTAATCTTCCCAGGAACCTTATAAGTGGATCTTATTTAATCTTCACAGCAACTGTGAGAATGAGATGGCATTACTCCTCAAGTGCTGATACAAAAACAGGCACAGAGAATTTAAATGCGTGACTGAGGTCCCATGGTTAGTAACTGACAGAGCAAGGGCCTTCATGCAACCCTGTCAAAGCCCAAAAGCTGTGTTCTCAATCACTTGGCAAATGTCCTCTCCTTCATCTTTTGCGGTCCAGCTCAAATTCTACTTTCTAGTGAAGTGTCTCAAGTCATCCCGGCAAGAAGTGATGTGGGCAAATGCTCTCTTGAACCACAAGTATTCTACTGACACAGTGACGGTCATAATGGGATCAAGCATGACAGAGATTGTGGCGATGAGCAGAACAGGGAAAGATTGACTCTGTTGTTCATACGGTCACTCTAAGTTTGCAGTCAACCTGCCAGCATCTAACAACAATTTACTTGTGTTCTGCCTTAAAACTTTGGTGATTTGGTTGCAGAGATGATATCCCCAAGAGAACTAGAAGTGGAAGGCAGGCAGAATGTTGTATTTGTGGTTTTTGTATTACCTAGGACAGTGTCTTAAACACCATGATAAATAATAAAAAACTAACTTGATGAACATGGACATTGTATATCTCTGTTATATAGTCAAACTGTGATTCTATTTATCAGATGGTCTAGTGGAGATTGGCTAAAATAAATCACTAAATATGCTACAGCAGAGTGCTCCCTGGAGGCAAAGATGATACAGTTTCATGTGGCATACATTAGGCATATTGCTAAGAGAGACTATTTCTTGGGAGAGGGAAATCATGCTTGGACAGGTAGAGGGACGGTGGCAGGAAAGAAGATCCTAAATCAGGTGGACTGATACAGTGACTACAGCAACAGGCTCAAGTATGTCAGAGAGTGAGGGTGGCACAGGACAGGACAGGTTCAGACCTGTTGCTCATAGGATTGCTATGAGTCATACTCGATAGCACCTAAGAACAACAACAACATTACTATAATGACAAAGAACAACTGATGTCAGCTTTTCAGACTCTGTTATCTCTGTTCAAGAAGAGAATTCTTTTGAAGATTCTCCCCCCAGCCCCCACAAGACAAAGCTGTTGTTGTTGCCAAGTACTGTCAAGTCAACTTCAACTCATAGAGAACCTATGAACAACAGATCGGACCCTTGTCCTGTCCTGCGCCATCCTCATGGTCTGCTCAAGCCCATTTTTAGAGTCAATCTATCTTGTTGAAGTTCTTCCTCTCTTTCCCTGATGCTCTACCATTCCCAGCATAATGACTTTTCCCAACATGCCCAAAGTATATGAGATGAAGTTTCACCATCTTTGCCTCTAAGGAGCACCCTGGTTGCACTTATTCAAAGACAGACTTGTTTGTTCTTTTGGTAGTCTATGATAAACTTAATACTCTTTGCCAGTATCATAATTCAAATGCATTGCTTCTTGTTCAAATATACTTATTCACTACTGTCCAACTTTCAGAAACATATCATCACTCTGACACACCTTGGTCTTTAAACGGACATCCTTGCTCCTTAGAACTTTAGAGTGGTCCTTAACAGCAGATTTTCCTAATGCAAAATGTCTTTTCATTTCTCATCTGCTGCTACAATGGATGCTGAGTTTGGATCCACGTAAAGTAAAATCATTGACAACGTCAATTTTTTTTCTCTCTGTCAGTTGCCTACTGGACCAGTAGTGGGAACCAAAGTATTCCTTTTTAAATAGATATACATGCAAAAGTGTACACACGTGTGTGCCTATGTGTGCGTACAACCTCCCCCGCCCCGTGCTTAAAAAGTTAATTTAAGTTCTCCTGATCATCACTTGCCATATAGAATGTGACCATCCTGTTTCTGGAAGGGCTGTCCCAGAAGTTAAGGTAGCAGAAGATGTACACGGCCCCGACAAGCAGGTTGAACAGCCTCCAATGGCAGGTGCTGTCTATGATGTCACTTTGCTGGGCCACTAGCCAGAATGTCATCACCAGCCAGTGAGCACCTGCAGAGAAGCCGGGACAGCAGAAATGAGTTTCCCTGTGGGCAAGCAGACACTCCTGTTCCTGCGTGGCACCACCCTCTCTCCTCAGACCAGCCCTAACTTGGACTCTTGACCCTTAAGAGAGATCCAAGGGTCCAAGAAAACCAACACATTGTATCTTTACATCTTCTCATATTATTCTCATAGATTCTCTTCTTTAGGAACTGACACAGTGACTATAGTTTGGATATGTTTTCAGGAGGGGCCAGTCCTGGGAAAAAGACAGCATGCTGGGAAAAGTAGAGGGTCAATGCAAGAGAGGAAGATCCTTTATGAGATAGACTGACACAATGATTGCAAGAGTGGGCTTGGGCTTGGTGGAGACCCGGGTGGGATAGGAGAGGACAAGGTTTTAGTTTGTCGTTCACAGAGTTAGTAAGTGTATAGGTAGTAGTTGACTTGACGGTACCTAACAATAACAGCAATGTACATTTTCAGATAGATAATATTACACTGGAGTTCAAGCCGCACTTTTTACAAATCACAACAAATAAACTAGATAATTTTGCTTTAGGAGCATACTTTCTTTCAAAAAAATTATTTTTTTCTTGCCAGTAAATGCATTAACATTTGCATGACGCCTAAGGTTTTAATATTTCTCAGCTTCTCTAGTTCTCTTAAAACAAAAGTGCAGTGTTCCCTCTGTAGAGGGCATTCACTGCTGGCCAGAGCCGTCTCCTTGGCAGGGGCACACAGGCCCCGTTCAGAAGTCCTGCACAGGCAGCCTGACTCCCTGTCGTTACCACACTGCCAGGCTGAGGCCCGAAGGGAAGGATTCGGCTCAGTGAAAACAGGGAAGATGTCAAAGGTTCACCATTTGAACAAAATGGAGACCCTTTGTAGACTACAAGCAGTATTGTCTATTTTTGCCTTGGGTCAAAGCAGGTGGGCTCTTAGACCTCCCTCTTGTGGAGTGACAGCTTTCTTAAAGAGTTCTCAGTCCACAACACAGAATACTTGGCACTATTGCAATGACTTTGTGCTCTAAAACTGTGCTCTGTATCTTTATCTAGGAGCACAGGTATGTAGGCTGGCTAACTAAGCTATGAACATTTTTCTCCTAATTTGTTGTTGTTGTTGCTGTTAGATGCTGTCCAGTCAGCCATCACTCTTAGTGACCCAATAAATGACAGATCCAAACCCTGCCCTGGCCTGTCCTGTGCCATCCTCACCATCTATGCTATAATACTCGGGTCCATTGTTATGGTCACTGTGTCAATCCACCTCCTTGAGGGTCTTCCCCTCCTGCGCTGACCCTCAGTAGCTACCATGAATGCTTTCCCTCCCGAATACTCATTAAGAGCTGGAGTCTATTCATTCTTCCCCATGAATCTATGGTCAATTATGACTTTGACCAACAGAGTATGGAAGACATGCTGATGTTTAGGTTCTGAGCCTGTCTTTCAAGAATGGACACTTTCCATTTCCTTTTCCTTAAAGCCCTCAGCTGCCATGCTCAGGCTACTCTGCTGTTGAGGAAGGCCACAGAGAAGTTAGACATGTGTGTGAAGTCTTCCTGACGAGCTGAATCCAGACCCCCTTTATCCTACTGCCACCATATGTGGCACTCCAAGTGAAGCCTGCCCTTCTAAGTCCAGTCAGCCTCAGAACCAGACGAGCATATATAGTATTTAAGGTTTTTAATTTTGGGGGTAACTTATTAAATAGAAATAATTAGAATATATTCATGCCTTACCTCCAACAACTAAAACCCAGACACGGTAAGCTTTGTAAAACAGGACCAGACTCAGGACACGGGTTCCCAGCATGCCCATTCTCCAGAGCTGCTGACAGAAGAGGGCTGCCCAGGGCATGGAGAGGTGACCCGGCTTCATGAAGCCCATGAAACGAGTGTAGGACACCAGAGCCCACGACAGCGATGACCAGGAGAAGAGAGCACTCACCCCTGAAAAGGAAGTGGACAGACAGAAACCTTTTATGTCTTCAAATGAACACCACCACATGAAGACTCATTCATGACATCTCTCCTGTGGGACATCTAAGCTCTTATTAAAATAAGACTTCACATCGAGTTCCCGTCACAAATCACATTCACCTGTGAAAACAGACTATGTATACACACACACACACACACACACACACACACACACACACACACACACACACGTATTTACCGAAAGAAATGGGAAATATGACAGAATATAAGTGATGCTCTTCTGCAACAAAGGAGGTGGCTGCTCCCTTTCTATGCCCTTTAGAAAAAATTTCAGTTCACTGATCCGTTAAGTGCTCTCATTTATGCTCTGTTTGTAACTAAGCAGATCCTAGAGACTTCTGAACAGGACATTGCATCCTAAATGCATTTTACATTTCAATCTATATGAAGGAATTTTAACAAAATAAAGAAAACCAGAATATCAAACTGCATTGGATGCTCTGATAAAGATGGATGGAGGTACAGCAAAGCCCTATCTTGTAAGCACCAAGCTTGTGAATATACAAATGTGGACAAAAGGAAAGAGGGGGCAGAAGGGATAAGAAGGTGAGGGGGAAAGAGAGAGAGTGGAAGGGGAGTGACGAGGTCTAGAGCAGATGGGAACAAAGAAGCAAGAGGCGATAAAGGGGTGAGGGAAGAACAAGAATCACCGGGGGCTGGAAACATTTTCAGTGCCTGAGCTGTTCCCAATTTTCACATGGTTCTGACGGGGTAAGCCTCTGAGTGAGTTAAGACTTAGTCTAGAAACCAGAGATGCAGGAAAAACTGGTACATTGATCTTACAGAGAAGCAGAATGGAACAATTTCTCAAGTCATTGTGCCTACATATGCTTTCTATTCTATGGATAGACTTAATTAAGCCTTAACTCCATGAATAAAGAAAATCTTGTGAATGTAACATCCCAAATAAAAAGCCAATTTTGAACCTCCTAGTGCACTGGAGAGTTCATGTCTTTGGTTCACAGGGTGGCTATGAGTCGTCTATGACTCAACGACACTTAAGAACAACAACAGCGCACTGGAGAATGTTTGCTGCCTTCAATTGACCTGGGGTGCATTCCGACTCATGTTGACCTCATGTACACACAGATTTGAATTGTTTTACAGAGTTTTCTAGGTTTTTAGAACCTCTGAGCAGGTTTAATCTATCAACCTTTGGTTAGCAATCAAACGCTCAACAATTTGCACCATCCAGAGAAACCCTTGATTCCTTCAAGAAGGGAGAATCTTCGATGGGAGGGTTCTGCTGAATAGGGAATGTATTTCCGTCTTCGTTGGCAGTTGATCAATCTGGGCTTCCAAGGGAAAGCTACTCACCAGACACAACATCTGTGAAGTCAGAGACTAGAAAAATGTATGTTTGAAGCAGCAGGTGGGGACCGGTCTGCAGCAGGGCCTCCAAGAGCCGGAGGGCTGACAGGTCGGCCTCCTGCAGCAGCAACTGGCCCAGGCGGGGAGGTGCCCATTCCTTAGACAGAGCAGCGGTTGTCGCATCCCAGTGTCTGCAGAAAAGCAACAGGCTCCGTCATCCTCAGCCGGACTGCACCCAGCTTCAACAGGACAGTCTCCTGCTCTGCCTTATCACTGAGAGACTATAACACAATTAAGAGCAATCTATGAGCAGACTAGGTTCCCGTCATCAAGGATGATGTCACCTACTCCAAGCTGAAGATGTCAGTTCCACTGTAGGTCATGTGTAGGATGTATGCAATCTTTCCCAGTAAGGCAGATTCAACGGACCTACATCCCTCATACTTTACCAAATCTTGGAAAGGCTGGGGAAGGACAAGCTGGGAGTTTAGATTGGACAGATTTGGCAGAGGTTCCTCTAATCTGGCGCTGCAGTGGGCAAATAAACTCAAGTTGACAACCCTACAAGTCTTGGTGCTAACCCCATCCTTCTCCACTTACCTCAGGCCCTCCAGTGGTTTGGGATTAACTCATGTAATAAATGTGGGTTTTAAGGTATTGTCTGTAGTAATCACAACAGAGGGTAAAAGGAGAAGCTCCTAGTCCTGGCTTGCATATAATGTAGAACATTGTATGCCAACTGGGACATGAAAAAGAGAAGAATGGCGGGAGTGGTGGTGGTGGGGCTGAGGGGAACGACATACTTAACTGGACAATGGCAAGACATCACAGTTGCTGTAGAATCACATGTGGGTGGAGAAGCTGACAGGATCCCAGGAAGCACTTTAAACCCATTGCCCCCAACTCAATTCTGAGTCACAGCCACCCCACAGGACAGGGCAGAACTGGTTTCCAAGGCTGTAATATTTATAGAAGCAAATGGCCTTATCTCTCCCCTAGGCAGCGCTGGTGGGTTCAAACCAGCAACCTTCTGCTTAATAGTCAAGTGTTCAGCCACTGTGTCACCAAGACTCCTTAGCAAGGTATTTTAGAGCCATGAATTTCAGGACTATATATATATGTATATATATTGTTTTGGGTTTTTTTTTTGTTGTAATATGATCAAAAGACCTGAACACTTATATAACTTTCATCCTTTCTGAACATTCATAGTGTTTCCGGAGGCAAGCTATTTCAGATGTGGAAGTCACTCCTGCTTCCAAGCTTGTTTTAATTGAGGAGCGACACCAAACACTGTCCAGCATGGGTAACCATTCTTGCACTTGACACATCAGTGTCACAGTGTTTAGCATGAGATTACCTCTGTATAGCAAACAGACTGACCAGTGCTATACCACTTAGAAGAATTTTGATTAAAACCATATGTGTGTGTGTGTAAATTATCCCTGTCCCAGGGCAATTTTTTTAAATTGGTTTGCTTACAGAGTTAGTATATATAATACATTGTGTTTCCTACTAGTCTTCTTTTACATTGTATTTCATGAAATCATTCTCATGCATTGTTTTATAAAATTAACTACCATCGGACCTTGCCCATCATTACCCTGTCTTTTCAGGTGCCCACCAGATCATTCCCATTTCCTTCACCCCTTCCTTCCACCCAACAAACTGTGCAACCCTGTAGTTTCGCTCCTACCTATCCTCCCCGCTTCACTCCTCCCTCCCTGCTTGAAGTTCCCATACATGCTGTAATAACTTTCCTTCTATTTTTACAATAATGGTCTTATGCAGAATTTGTCTTTATATAAAACAACAAATTTGGGAGAGATGCTGTTAAAGTGTTTAGGAATGTGTGTGTGTGTGTATACAGCAAAATAGGATGAAAGTATAATTTCATCAATAATTCCAAAGATTGGAGTTAGGATTTTTTTGTTGTTGTTATGTGCCGTCAAGTCGTTTGCGACTCATAGCGACCCTATGCACAACAGCCCTAAACCCTGCTCTATC